AACGGTAGCTACACACCTCAGCTAAAAAAACCCAAACAGCAATCTTTTCCCACTAAAATAATCCATACCTGCTTTATGGTTTATCACGATGCTCAATTCCAGGCATTTGTGACTTCTGCAAGAAAGCAAGATAAACAAATTATGTCTTAACACGGGGGTGGGGGGGTCCTAAACTACGTTTCGATTCCTTTGTCAATTTTACAAGGTTCGCAACGAGACTTACCAGAAGAGGGCCATGTTTACCGAGGGGTCGACCCTTTCCTCTTATTTAACTCCAACTGACGAGGTTCCGTCATACTCCTATCCTAGAATAACAGTCTGAGATTCGTACTTTTCTTACTCTTTCGAGGCTGTACGTATCGACACGTTTGAGTGAATGAAAGGAGGAGGCAGAAAAGGGGGATAATATTTCCAAATCTTTCCAGGCAGCACAATCAACAACCAAGCATGTATTAAATCAATCTTTTTATTTATTTGCTGTAAGGTAGAAGAAGATCATTTTCAGACAGCCTAAGAAAGAATGGAAAAATAATAATAAACTACATTTTTGGCCTCCCTGGAAGAATTTATGCATAGCAAGGATGACAAAGGGGTTTGTCAGCTGCTCAGGGACACATGGGCATTCACACCTACACACTCTCAAGAACCACAGCTCTCATATTTTCCTCTTTGCATCAATCCATATAAAATATTACACCAATCACCTTCAGACAGAAGAGCAGTGTTTCTCAACCTTGGCAACTTCAAGATGGGTGGACTTCAATTCCCAGAATTCCTCAGCCAACACCTAAAATTCACTGAGGGTATAGGACCTGTACTTTTGAGGCATTATGGACATATTTAAGAAGACTGCCCTGTCTGATCACCCATGAGCACTCCATAGCCCAGACAGGAAATATTCCAGACTGCCTCAGCAGGAGACTATATTGAGCACATGGAGAAACAAATTAGGCCCAAATCACTGTCGGCCTTTGTTCATGTTAAAAAACCTGATTGTTGAGTAAGTTGGAATTGCTGCAAGGCCACAGGAGCTGATCTGTGGCCCAAGAAAAAATCTGTTTCTCACTGCATTGTGGTTTCAAGGAAACATAGGAAAAGGGCCTTCTTTCTGACCCATAGAAATGTTGAAAATCTTTGGGTTAAAGAGGTAAGGAGACTCCTTTTGTTGATATGTAGCTAAGGGCCACCATAGGGCTATCCATATAATCTTTTCAATGCTCCCTTCCCATCTATGTTAATCCCAAAACTGGAACGCTTAGAACTTCTTTAAAGATATTTGAAACAGAAAGCTAGCCAGGGGAAACTGTTGGTTTGTTAAATGATGTAGGAAAAGAATCCTTAATGAAGATAAGAACCAGGGGAAAATTGCATGAATTCTGGTCATCTGTCTTTATTACAGAAGATAACAAGACAGCTGAACCTGCACTGACTTTTCAGGGAAGAAATCTGAACTAAAGCAAATTGAGGTAATAGGAGATGTGGGACATCTTGAAAGACTAGTTGATAACAAATCACTGAGTCCCAATGACATCCACTGAGGGTTATTAAAACACAGAAATGTGGCCTTCTAGTCAATCTTTTTTAATCTGTCCCCACCCCACCCACCCCCAAAGATAGCTAATGGGACATCAATATTTTTTAAAAAGAGAGAGAAATCAGGGAAATTACAGCCCCCTTAGCATAATGTCTATTCCAGGCAAATTGGCAGAAATGTGATGAACGTTATTTTAAAGGCATATAAAGGAACAGGTTTTGTGGAAGGAGAATTAGCAGGCATTCCACAAAGGCCTCCCCAACCTTGTAGAGTTTTGAGGAATGTCAAAAATGTGTAGATGGAGGTGCCCCTATCCTCACTGCTATGTAGATTTTCAAAAGTATTTGACAACATTCCTCATCAAAAGTTACTGAGTAAACTCAGCAGCCACAAGATAAGAAGACCTGTGGCTTTATGGATTGCCAACTGGTTTTTAATTGGTTCAAAAGCCAAAAGCAAAAAAATGGGAATAAATGAGCAATTTTCTTAATGGAAGAATGTAAGAAATATAGTTTTTTTCAAGAATCTGTGTTGGATCTAATGCTTTTTAGCTTGTTCATTATTGACTTTTGTGTAGGGGAAAGAAGTAAGCTAGTCATGTTTGCAAATAACACTAAACATCTGGTTATTTATTTAACCATGTTCTGAATTTTTACTAATCTGAGACTTTAGTTATTAGTAGGCCATGTTAACTGCCTCTATAGACAGGACTGTAAACATTTTATAATGCCTTGTTCTGAGGGTCACTTCAGAATGATGTTTATAGGTTGGCTTGTTGATCTGCTAGAGCAGTGGTTCTCAACCTGTGGGTCGGGACCCCATTTGGGGTCGATCAACCATTTCATGGGGGTCGCCAAGCAAGGCTGTCCGCCATTTTTTTTGTCCGCCATTTTTTTTGTCCGCCATTTTTTCCCCCTTTTCCGGCGGGTGCCTTACCTCCCTTGGGCTGGGCCAGCTGGTGGTCGGCCTGCTCCGTCTCTGCCGCTTGCCAGCTATGCCTCGGCTGGCGCAGGGGGCAGAACCACGCATGCGCGGCGCTCCCGGGCAGGGAAAGTCCTTGACTTACGACCGGTTGGGTAGTCCTCGACTTACGACCGGTTTAGTCCTCGACTTACGACCGGTTTAGTCCTCGACTTACGACCGGTTTAGTCCTCGACTTACGACCGGTTGGGGTCGCGGCATTAAAAAGGTTGAGAACCACTGTGCTAGAGACTAAAGGTGATGTTAATGTCACTGGGGAAGATGGATGGATGGATGGGATCTTCCTTTCACAAATAATAGACCAAAGCAGAACAGAATATTCTTTATTGACTAAGTGTGATTAGACACACAAGGAATTTGTCTCCAGTGCATAAGCTCTCAGTGTACATACAAACAACAAAGTTATAGGTCATATATCATAGAGCATAGTTACATCATTAATCATAACATACAACAATAAGTGATAAATCATAAAATACCAATAGGAGAAGATAGTAGAGAAGATGAGAAGGATAATAGCAATACAGCCTACTATATGGGTAAATATCTTTAGGCCTAAGACAGTGCCGTGGGAATTAAGTGCTCTGTCTTCAGATGAGATAAATCAAATAATAAATACAGACTTTCCTGTTGTACCAGTGAGAATGTCAACCTAGTCTATATTTTGACATAGCTTAAGCAAACAGTGTAGATGGTTTTGAGTATGGCTGATGTTAAAAAGGCTAAGTAGGATCGTAACTGGTTAGTGTCCGATTAGAAATCCACCTAGCAAATCCCAGTGCTATACAGTAGACTGAAAATTTGGGCGGGAAAAAATCCCAGAAGGTGGCAGTGTCAAACCATTAGTGTATTGTTGCCAGGAACACTATGGCTATGTCAGTGTAGTTGTCAAGGGTCAAGTTTGACTCAGAGGAGACTTTTCCTTACCTTCTGCAACTGCTCTTTGTTTCCTCATGAAAAGATTTTAAGCCCTCGGCTGCACCGTTTTATTGGTGATTTGCTCCCAGATCATATTGCTTTGTTTTACATTCTCATAAGCTGCCCTAATTAGCTTTTTGACAGAAGAATTGAGCAATAATGCTTACCCACACATAAAATAAATAATGAGTAACTGGAATTCCGAAACAGCAATGGGCAGGAACTAAATTATAACTTCCTGGGTGAGCGACTAGTTTAATCTGAAGCTCTGCTCTTGGCAATTTCCTAGAATTTGATGGGAAAATGGAGATCCCTAGCCAGAGATTACATCAGCTTAAATACATCATCCAGGCCTTGGTTTTGTTTCTTGGCCATAATGGTGTGTAAAAAAAGAAAGAAGACAATCATTTCACACACCCGCACACCCAGAGTGCCATATGTGCCTACAATTTCTGATCATTTTTTCCAACCCTTATTGTGCAAAGAAATAGAACCAAGGAGAAGATGGTGCATTTTACCTAGTAGAAAGATAGAAAGCTTAAATACGCGATATAAAACAAAAATTGAAGAAGGCATTGTATAACAGAGATGCAGTGGCTCCATTAATCTTCTTTTTTTACTTCTGTAAGTAAGATGGGCCACCTATTGTCATCTCTGCAAAGGTTTTTATTTTTTTCCCATTCCTTACCGTGGCAGGTTGCCCAAATTTTCATGTCTCTAATTTATTTCAGGGATGAATTTGATTAAATGATTTATTGACTGACTGGTTGATTCTTTTCAGCTTGAGCTTTTCGAAGCAGTAATATAACAAAATGTGTGATCAACAAACCTGCATATGGGGGGGGAATATGCCCTGAGATCAAATAAGGTATCTACCCTCTGATGGCATTGGTTGCCTTCATGTCCAACATCAGAGCTACTGTTTTGCTTATTTGCCATGCAAACATGTGGTAAGCGTTTATGGAGAGACAAAATATGTCAACGTATAATGAGATCAAATGAAAATGGGGTTACTTGATAGAAAAATAGTATGTCCCTCCCATCCCAAAACAGTAGGATAAAGGAATAAAATATTATAACTGCATCATTATACCTGCAGATGTGGCTGGCATTCCATGATCATACTACTAGCTACTATGACAGTATAGTTCATAGTTCCCAGGACAATTCAGTCGACTGCTAGCAGTTCGATCCTGACCAGCTCAAGGCTGACTCAGCCTTCCATCCTTCCGAGGTCGGTAAAATGAGGAGCCAGATTGTTGGGGGCAATATGCTGACTCTGCAAACTGCTCAGTGAGTGCTGTAAAGCACTATGAAGCGGTATATAAGTCTTAAATGCTATTGCTATTTCTCTGAGCTTCAAGATTTTCATTTCACACCAAGGATAGCCACAGTTTTTTTTAAAAAAGTATGTTTTGGTCAAAACACACCACAGCTTATAACAGAAGGATCTTTGTTTTTATCTCCTTCCAAGAAAATAGGGAAGGTGAAGCTCATTTTTCCTTGTGTGCATCTTTGTACATCTTTTGACTCATCCCATCTTTCCTTCTATTTTTTTCTTTTCCAGAATCAACATACTGTCTTGGGTCAAAGTGGAGGCACCAACCCAGGATCTGCCTCATGCACAAATGCAAACACTGGAACCAGCTACATCAGCTCATCGCCACAAACATTGCTGAATCAGCAGCTGAAACAACAGTTCCTCCTTCAACAGCAGCAGCAGCAGCAGCAAATACTATCAGAAGCAGTAAATATCCCAGTTTTCTATTTTTTATATATGTATGTATGTATGTATGTATGTATGTATGTATGTATGTATGTATGTATGTAAAACAGTCTCCCAGAATCCCAAAAGGAAATGTGAGGAAAGAATTGCCCAGCTTGTTTGGAATTGTTTGGCACTTGAGAAGTTAGGGTGCAATCTAAATTGCTCTCACTTGGCCTAAGGGTTCTGCAGAATCCATATGTGTGCTTCCGAAGCAAGAGCATGAAAGTTGAACATGTCTTGTCCATGGGGAACATCATAGGTTCCAGGTGGCTCCTCTAGTTAGCAAGGTTAAGAGCAGATGTTGAGAACGTTCTCTTAGCCACTGTTCAAATTTACAGTAGACTCCACCACCCTCCCACAAGTCAGTTACAAGCCAGTTCTGGAGTTCTGAGAGTTGCACATATCTCCCTCTTTCATAACCTGAAATTACAGTTATCTCTACCAGCTTTCCCAGCCTGTTGCCCTCCGTTGTTGAGAATTTAGTTTCCAAAATTAATTCCAACTTCTCTGAAGGACATCAAGCTGGAGAAGTTTGTTCTAACAAATATCCACGGCTCACCACCCGCTTCTCCTCTGTTGCATCAATGGAGTAGGATATCCTTTAAAAATGCATCTTTGAATGTACATGACCATATTTTAAGCACTTGGCAACTGGCTCACTTTTACAACTGGTTGTTGCCTTCCACGGTCACATAACTGAGATTTATGACATTTTTTTGCCGGTTTCCGGAAAAAACAGGAATAGGAATACATTACTTTGCTTAAAGAACACTGCAAAGAAGTCATCAAATCAGGTCTGGTCACATGGTGCCTTGACTTACGACCATCATGTTTTATGATAGAAATTACGGGCTCCATTATGATCATAAGTTGAGGACTACCTATCATAATATTAGAGCAAGACTTCAGTGTAGAAGACAATGATGATATGGCTGCAGACACAGGTAGAAATTTTATATTTTTCATCCTAAAGGACAGCAGGTTGCAGGGCAGCTGAGAGTTGACATACACACACACACACACACACACACATACATACATACATACATGCAACCTTCAGGCAAAACTTGGTTTGCTGTCCAGAAGCCTTATTTCATGTGAAAACTGCACAATTGGAAAATGCTTTCCTTTTGCAGGAAGAATTTGACATGAGAAAGACGTTATTATTTCATTCAGATTATTTAAGTTGCCTTTATTCATTTGTAGCCTTTTCTTAGAACAGATACATCCCAGCAACAGTTCCTCTTAATATTTGTTCTCATCCCAAACAATACACAAACATTTCATTGGATGGGATGTGGGGTCTCCCTCTTTCATAACCCTGAAATTACAGTTATCTCTGCCAGCTTTCCCAGCCTGTTGCCCTCCGTTGTTGAGAATTTAGTTTCCAAAATTAATTCCAACTTCTCTGAAGGACATCAAGCTGGAGAAGTTTGTCCTAACAAATATCCACAGCTCCCCACCCGCTTCTCCTCTGTTGCATCAATGGAGTAGGATAGCCTTTAAAAATGCATCTTTGAATGTATGCATATGCTGCAGGTGATTCTGTTCAAATCTCCAGGATAATAAATAATAAATAGCAATACCTTCCTCTTTTTCTTCATCCTGTAGGAGAAAGCAACTTCTCAAGATCAACTGAACAGACACCTTACAAGACCACCACCAGATTACAAGGACCAAAGAAGGGGCCAGGTCAACGTGCAGCAAGCACACCAATATTCCGGTAAGCATGCACATAAAAGCAAATAAGCCACCTTCAGACAAAGATTTGACTCATTTGAGTGTGGGACATGTGGCTCTTTCCTCCTGAGTAGCACTTAGGTCTTCCTTCTCTCCTAGTTCGATGTGAGAGTTTCTCTTGTTTCCTTCCTGTTTTCTCGTCTCCCTGGTCTCTCAAACTTCCTCTCTCCCAAACTTTTCTTTGCTTTCATCCATTTGAAACACAAAAGTCTCCTTGTCCCTTAGATCTTTCCTGAGGCCTTTTCCCGACTCCAAACAAACCAGCATTCAGTTTCCTTCACAGAAGCTACATTGATTTTCAGGAGCCCTCCAGTGACCTTTCCCCTCCACTGTTGCGGTGTCCATGAACATTGTACGGCATTGGTGCAGTTGCACCAACAGCTTAAAAATCGATTCATGATTTTGGGCCCACTACATGTACTGTCAGCTTAATCAGAGGATGTCTAAAGATGCCTGTCTAACTGTTGGAATTTGCCTGGTGGGCTGGACAAATCAAGGACTTCCCAAAAAAAAAGGAAGAGCATGTGACGAATCGTCTGATGATTCAAACATTCTTCATGGATCCTCACTTTTTGAACATTTAAATTTTACTTAGTGAAGTTCTAAACTGTTTCTTAGGTCTCTGAATATGTTACAGAAGGCTGATTTGGCTAACAGAGTCGGACTGACTCATGTTCTATTTTGGGGATTTTTCACACACTGCATCTTAGGCATAAACCTTGATGCAAGGTTGAATGAATCAGAAGCATGTTCATAAACTCAAATTCATTTGAGTGTACCCGCCGAGAAGAAAGGACACCTGAAATAGCTGATAGAGTTTGCTGTTTCCATTTTACTTACAGTACTTACAATTGTGTGAGTATCTTGTCTTTAAGTCATCACTCCAAGGATATGAACCTTTCCTCGCTTCCTAGGTCGGCATTCAATCTCAAGGAGGGGTCCTCCCTTGGTCTTTTTAGTAAGAGTCACCAAATAAATGTTTGGAAATATCTTCAAGGAAAGATAGGTATTTGGAGACATCTAACAAAATAAAAGAGCTGGAAGGGACTCAAGTAGGAAATCCTATACCAGTGGTGACGAACCTATGGCACGGGTGCCAGAGGCGGCACTCAGAGCCCTCTCTGTGGGCACACGTGCCGTCACCCCAGTCCTAGGCCTTCAGCTGAGTTTTATAAAACTTTTTCGCTTTAGGCCTCCACTGCCGTGTGCAAAAAAAAAAAAAAAGTTCAGTCAATTTCAACTTCTCGCGGGAAAAAAAAAGATCTTGCAAAGTTGGAATTGATTGATTGAAGTTTTTAGTCCCACCCAGTCTGCCGTTACCACCGCAGCCACGCCCACCCAATGGGCCACGCCCACCCAATGGGCCACACCCACCCAATGGGCCACTCTCACCTGGCACTCGACAATGCATAAGTAGGTTTTGGGTTGCAGTTTGGGCACTCGGTCTCTAAAAGGTTCGCCATCACTGTATACCATTTCAGACAAATGGTTGTCCAATCTTTTCTAAAAACCTCCACATACAACTTCTGGAGGCAGGTCATTCCACTAATTAATTATTCTAACTCTCAGGAAATTTCTCCTTGGTTCTAGGTTGTTTCTCTCCTTGATTAGTTTCCATCCATTGCTTCTTGTTCTGCCCTCAGGTGCTTTGGAGAATAGCTTGACTCCCTCTTCTTTGTGGCAGTCCCTGAGATATTGGAACACTGCTATCATGTCTCCCCTCATCCTTCTCTTCATTAAACTAGACATACCCAATTCCAACCATTCTTTATATGTTTTAGCCTCCAGTCCCCTGATCATCTTTGCTGCTCTTCTCTGCACTCTTTCTAGATTCTCAACATCTTTTTTATATTGTGGCGACCAAAACTGGATGCAATATTCCAAATCTCCCTAACCTTTCTGTCTATACATTTGATGGAGAACACATACATTTGAAAGACTGTCCAGCATTTTTCTAAAAAATATTCTGCACTGTGGCATTTACCTTATGTCTCATTGAATACATTTGTTCTCTAATCTGGTTTTAGTTTCAAGGGTCCTGCTACTGTTACTCTTCGTGAAACAGAATTAAAGATTACCTAGCCAGTCTCAAAACTGACTTTCAGAGAGCAGACACCTCTCTTTTCATGATGGACTGTCAGTCCTGGCCATTAATCAGAAATTGACACATTCTGCAGTAGCACTCAATTCTTTTAGTATCTAAGGTCTGGTTATGTTCTCCACTGAACACTAATTGGAATGAAATTTCTGCCCATCCGGTATAAATTAGACCAGCACAAAAAGAAGAGTTGGGGGGGGGGGGAGAGAATGAAGAAGCTAAAAATAGTGAGCAATTCAGAGAAAAAGGGAAACTTTGTTTTGGGAATAAGAGAGAGAACCATTGTCCCCAAACCACTGCACCCTCTGAAGCAATTTCTGCTGCTACAAAAGAATATAGTATGTTGGCCATCTGTGCCTGAATCAACATGTTCCATCTTGGCTAATCTGGAAAATGCCTCAGTTGCCTGAGTCTTTTTGTTGCAACAGACAAATGTTATGTGTCTGGAACATCTGGTTCGTTTCAATGATAGTGCACAAATTCAGCACAGGTTGCCTTACTTAATTGCTAATGACATGTCTTATCCAGGCAGCTCTCTGATAAGAAACTCCATGGGTTCCTTCACTTTGCTTCCGTTTTCCTTCTCCAATCCTGCAAACTCAGTTTAAAGATGATCCACGATCGCCTTCTCTTCTGCTGACACTGAAAGTCTGAGCAGAAGAAGAGCAAAAACAGGGATATATATTTCACCTCAAGCTGCCACTGATCCAGGAGTAACCCCTTCATCCTCTCTTCCTGCAAAATCCATGTTTTTATTTATTTGTTATTAAATTTATTAGCTGCCCATCTTACCACAGGGTAACTCTGGATGGCTTACAACAGACATGTCAAACACAAGGCCTGGGGGCCGGATGCGGCCCGCGAAGTAGTTTCATGTGGCCCGCGAAGCCATCCTGGAAACAGTGAGGGAACGGCCCCCACTGCCTTGGCCCTGGCCCAGGACAGCCGGGAGCCAATGTACAATTTTGTGGTGGCCCTCTATGCTGAAACGCATTCAGTCTTAGCTCCATAAGCCCCCCCCCCCCACATGGCCTGAGAGGAACAGTGAGGCTCCTCCAGTGGACCATGCCTTGGCGCTTGCCCCGGTCCCACCCCCTTCTGCCAGAGACCCTCAGATCTGTCCCACTCCTGCCCAGGCCCCCACAGGCACCCTTGACGCGAACGATGTAGAGCTGGCCACACCCACTCCATCCACGCCCACCCAGTAGGCCGCACCCACCCTGGCCACACCCACCCGGCCCCCTGAGGGCAACCGCAATGCTGATGCGGCCCTCAATGAAATTGAGTTTGACACCCTTGACTTACAATATTAAAAAGATAAAACCACGCAACACCTATAAACACGACAAATAAAATACTATAAAAATACAAATACTCAAGCCTAACTAAAAGATGGGAAAGTAGGAAGTAGGATGAGCAGGAGAGGGAGGTGGGATCTGTTATTTATCTATCAGCCACCCCCAGTGTTAAACCTTCACATTGCAGCCCCCAGGCCCCATTGGAGTCCCAAAATCCAATCAGTTGTGATTACTTATGCTTTCACATCCATGCTTCAAGTTGCTGGCATTTTTCTTGGGCGAAAAATGAAATAAATAAAATAAACATCTGAATGGTTCCTGAGCAGCAGGAACTCAGAACTCAGAAGCTGGAAGACACAGCAAGACAGGAAAAAGTCAGCAAAGATTTCTCTAGAGATGTGGCATTTCAATTAAAATACTACTTTACAGGTCGTCCTTGACTTAACAACAGTTTATTTAGTGACCAAAGTTACAATATCACTGAAAAAAAGTGACTTAGGATCATTTTTCACACTTATGGCCATCGCAGCCTCCCCACGGTCACGGGATCAAAATTCAAACAGTTGGCAACTGACTCACATTTATGACGGTTGCAGTGTCCCGGGATCATGTGATCACCTTTTGCGACCTTCTGACAAGCAAAGTCAATGGGGAAGCCAGATTTGCTTAACAAACATATAACTAACTTAACCACTGCCATTATTCACTTAACAACTGTGGCAAGAAAGGTCGTAAAATGGGGCAAAACTCACTTAACAAACATCTCGCTTAGCAACATAAATTTTGGACTCTGTGGTGGTCGTAAGTCGAGGACTACCTGTACTTGGAATTAGACAACTTATTTTCCTGTAAGTCAGGGGTCTGCAACCTTGAGAACTTTAAGACTTGTGGACTTCAGCTCCCAGAATTCCTCAGCCAGCATGGGGGCTCAATGGTAAGTCAAGGACTACCTGTAGGGACAGCCATAAATCCAGATGCTTAATGCCATAAATGAGAGCTTGTTAATGACTAAACGTCACAGGCATATCATAAATAAGTTGCCTCTTTTGCCAACAAGCTAGAATTCACCTTTATGCAGATTTGCCTACTGTGGAATGCAGAGATCATGTTTTAATTCCTCCTGCATATCTGAGTCAAAGGAAATGTTTATTTGTTGTGTTTAACCAAGGAACAACTGTTTCCTCTTCTTGCTGATTTTCACCTTTCACATAAGGCTGGATGCCAGTTGTTGTGCCGAATAGCAAGCTATATGAACTGGTGGTTCATCTTTTAATCATAATATTATATCACATTCAGAATGCCTTCTCTTTAAAATGCAACACACTAACATGGGTGCCTCCAAAAATCAATCAGGAGAAGGTTAACAGCTGGGTCACTTAATTAAGCCTGGTTTGTAGTCAAGCTTGCTCTCAGTCTACTAAGAGTCAGGGGGTCACAGTGGAAGTCTCACTGCCATTCCTTTGACCCATTGGCTGGGCTCATTTGCTGCACTCCTTCCTAAATATAAGTTAATAAATGTTCACATAATATACTATTCCGCAGTAGATCAAATTGTGGTTTAATATGATGGCTGAATTCACACAACCTGCTGGGTTTCCACAAATTCTGAAACATAAAATATCCAACCCCATTTTACCTTAGTTACATTGTCTTGTATTGTGTCTTGAGAGTCCCTTGGATTGCAAGGAGATCAAATGAGTCAATCCTAAAGGAAACCAACCCTGACTCTTCTTTGGAAGGACAGATACTTGAAGCTGAAGCTCAAATACTTTGGCCACCAAATGAGAAGAGAGGATTCATAGGAAAGGATCCAGATGTTGGGAAAGATGGAAGGCAAAAAGGAGAAAGGGATGGCAGAGAATGAGATGGTTAGATAAAGTCATTGAAGCAATGATCATGAATTTGAGCAAACTCTGGGAGACAGTGGAGGACAAGGAGGCCTGGTGTGGTATGGTCCATGGGGTCGTGAAAAAGTAGACACAACTTAGCAAATGAACCACAAGATTTGTGTTGCACAAATCCAGCTAAGTGATCAGCTGGCCTAATCCATTACCCATGCAGGAAAGCGCCACTACAAATGCATTCCCCTTATCTCTTACCCTCAGTGGAGAATAGTTGGTGAAGATGGTAGAACTTGCTGAGATCTCCAGACTGACTTCTTTGATCAGAGAAGTGACAGTGACAATATCTAAATTTATTCCTGACTGGAAAGTCATTCTAGATTTTTTGCATGAAACAGAATAATATGAACTTACGTTTTATGATTATGATGATTAGACAGGATAGATTACAGAAAGAAGATAGTTAGGTTGCAACCATAGAGTAAGAGGTAAATTTATAATTGGACCTAAAACTACTATAAAGATTGGAAGCTATTTCTTTGTATCTTTTTTTTCTTTTCTATTTTTTTTTTACCTTTTTCCCTTGGACTTTAAGCTCTTTTTTATTTTATAATAGTTTGTATTGATTTAATCTTCCTTTTTTAAAAAACCTCAAATAAATATATATTTTTAAAAAGTATCCTCTACAGTTGACCATCAATTTCTGCTTATAATCTTTTGGTTGAAATTTCTGGGAAGAGGAGAGAAATCAGAACAAAAGGACACCACACTCTGGAGGCAACAGCTGGCACATAAATCTAATCAAGTTCTCTTGAGTTTAGTGACTTCAGGGCTATGTCCATGGACAGTTAGTCCTCGACTTACGACCAGAATTGAGCCCAAAATTTCTGTTGCTAAGTGAGACATTTGTTAAGTTTGCCCCCTTTTACAACCTTTCTTGCCACAGTTGTTAAGCAAATCACTGAAGTTGTCAAGTTAGTAACATAATTGTCAAGTGAATCTGGCTCCCCCCATTGACTTTGCTTCTCCAAAGGTTGCAAAAGGTGATCCCATGACCTTGGGACACAGCAAAGGTCATAAATATGAACCAGTTGCCAAGCATCCGAATTTTGGTCATGTAATCATGGGGATGGTGCGATGGTTGTAAGTGTGAAAAACAGCCATAAGACACTTTTTTCAGTGCCGTTGTAACTTTGAACGGCCACTAAATGAACTGTTGTAAATTGAGAATTACCTCTGGTTAGTAGTGTCTTCTTTAAAGATATTTTTTATTTTTTTTTAAAGAAAAAAATCCCAGCTTTAGCTCACACCCCTGGTGTTTCCTGATCATCTCCAATCTAAGTATTACTTTGATCAAGCTGCTTCGCCAAGATCGGCTAAAATTGGCTTGATTCTGCCATGTATTTGAGCAAAAGGGATGATGTGTGATTCTACTATCCTTCAAAGAAATGGCATTAAAATATACTTCATTTTCTCTAATAGGGTCATTGTGTTGAGTGAGAGATAATAAAAAAAATAGCCAGAGAAGTAACTGGTCCTGTTGGGTACTTTGGTTTCCGAGTCTTGTTTGGATCTGATGATGGATGATGTCTTTGTTCTCTCCTAGGTGGATCACCGGCTGTGAGCATCAACTCCAATCTGTGCTTCTCCAATCCCATTTCCACTTCGAACATTTTGTCACAGCAATCAAATCTCTTATCCACGGCTCATGGCCTCAGAATGTCTTCTCTTCCAGCAGGGCACCACGTCAGCTGCTACGGGAACATTCCCTGCAGTCAACCAAATGCATATAACGTGGCAACTCCAGGAGTGAGCCAGGTTGCCCAGCATAGAAATCTAAACCCAATTGTAACCAGTCAAAACAACCCTGCAGCATCTCGGCCAACACCTCCAGGGCAAGGCAATAACATGCCGACCTTTGACAACGGGTTGGGAGTTAACTCCCAGCAAGGGAAACTCAGCTTGAACCAAGGGACTTCTGCCCAAAGACCTTCAAATGTGATGGTCAGCTCAAATGCTGCAGCTCAGAACTGGGCTTCTTCAGAAGCAGGGTCCAAGCAACAGGAAACACAGAGGGCTTCAGGATCCCCTTTCTCGTCTGGAAGCTCCTATACAAATCAGCAACTACAGCGCACAGCTGCCCTCCAGCAATTTCCTCAGCGTGCCATGGTGCCTCCTAACCAACTGGGCACTATCCAGATGAGAACCCCTGCGAGCCAAATGAACCAAAGTCTAAATGGACAAGTGGGCGGGGCATCCAAACCCCAGAGTGCAATGCCTACTCAACTGCAGGCAGAGGTTGTGGCCCACTTAAATCCACCCAGGGTGGGGATGACACAACCCCACCCCTTGTCATCGAACCAGTTCTCATCAAGTGCTACTCAAATGTCCACCAGGGTTTTTCAAGGAACAGATCATGCCAGTGATCTAGCATTTGATTTTCTGAACCAGCAAGCAGATAACATTGGGCCTGCACTCAACAGTGACCCAGACTTCATTGATTCTTTGTTGAAAACAGAGCCTAGTAATGATGATTGGATGAAAGACATCAACCTTGATGAGATATTAGGAGGCCATTCCTGAGGCAGCTAACAATTATGAACTCCTGGTGTTTTTTTAAGGCTGAAAAGTCAGGATATCAGTCTTCAGTTTGTAGAAGACAAAGGTCAGGGGAGGGGGGAAGCAAAAGAGTGAGTTGCTGGATCCAACCTTAAAAGTATATTAATGCAACCATGCTTCCATAACTTGTTCCATTATCAAGTATGCTAAAGATGGTTAAGTCTGGATCCATTGTTTCCAAATATAGGTGATTCTGAATGATAAATGGGTGTTTATCATTCAAACAAATCCTAAATATGTAAGCTAATATTTACATCTATTACATAAAGGAGAGACCTAGGAATATGCACTGCATCAAAAATATACTGCTGACATCCACTAATCATTTTCACGTGTATGTGTGTACCAATAGAAATCTTGGCAAGAATCTTCCCTAACATTGCACATTCTAATATGTTTTATTAGAATCCTTATCGGTTTCATTCACTGAGAATGAGACATTACATTATGGGAATTGTAATTCAGAACATCTGGAGTATATCAAATTTAGGGACGCAGGTTAGCAATTTATAGAGGGAACCAGTGGGCCATGAAAGAAAAGCTTATTGATAGAACCCATATATGCATGCCAAACATCCCAGGTTCTATAAGCTATTTAGTCTGGGGATGAAAAAGAGCGATCCCACAGTTCTGAAGGTCCATGGTGCACATGGCAGCTTCTTAAATCTCTACTCTAAAGTTCCTAATACTTCTTAAAACTGCAGTTTTCTGCCCACTTTCCTGGAAATAAATCTACAGATGGGATAAATAAACCTATAGATGGGGCAAACAAGGTAGTAAACAGATAGCTTGCCCTGTGAGTGGTTTGGCTTCCAACTCACTTCCTTCCTAAAACCCCTCCTTATGGGAGAATCTGTGCAGAGTATGAAGTATCAAACTCAAGAGTATTAGAAGTTTTCTATTCATAATCTGTCTAGCAGTTTTGAATAGGAATAATCAGCTTGTCCAGCCTGTTACGACTTCTGCAGATGACCCAATTTCACAAGCTTCCTTCTCCTCTCTATAGCTTTTGTACTTCCTAGAGTGAGTTTCTTCTTCCATCCTCTATCCCTTTAATTAGGTATTGGAGACTGGATTGAATTTTGGATGCTAATGGAATCCCATGTGCCCTAGAATGCAGATGATATCAAAACGATCCAGTTTTATCTTACATGTCATTAACATATTATGAATAAGAACGAGGATCCGTGAGGCAGGGATCCCTGCAAACATCAGACACATCGGCTGAAAGGATATCTAATGGTAGATCCGTCAAAGATGGTGGTTTAATTATTTGAGCACACATTGCACCATCTTGTTGTTGTTAGTTGCAAAGTTGTGTCCAACCCATCACGACTCCATGGACAACGTTCCTCCAGGCCTTCCTGTCCTCTACCATCTTCTGGAGTCCATTTAAGCTCACGCCTACTGCTTCAGTGACTCCATCCAGCCACCTCGTTCTCTGTCGTCCCCTTCTTCTATTGCCCTCCATCTTTCCCAGCATTAGGCTCTTCTCCAGTGAGTCCTTCCTTCTTATTAGGTGGCCAAAGTACTTGAGTTTCCATTTCAGGATCTGGCCTTCTAAAGATACCAATTTAAGGAGTTCATTGTTCAAATTAAAGGTGTTTTTTTAAAAAAAAAGAGATATTCTTTTTCATTCATAAACGGCACAATATTAAGTGAGATCTAAGCTCTTCCCTTGGATTTCCCTGACAGTGGCAAGCAGAGATAATACATTCTGCAATGGAAGGTGGTGCTTTACTTGTCATCTTTGATTCCCTACGTTGCCCTGCGCATAGATCAGTCAGGACACTGTTGGGAATTACATCTGCGGGCATTCCCATCTTATACTCTCCAGATGGATTGAGGCGACAACACTTTCTAGCCAACATATGCTAAGAAATTTTGCAAATTTCAGTCCTAATACATCTGAAGCATACCACTGTGGGAAAACTGAAATAATGAGCCACTTGGAGTTCTGATGAGGTGAGAAACAAAAGTGGGTCACCTAAGGGTTTCAGATGCTGTTCCTGGCCATTGGATCTATAAAATCTTACAATTCCTGATTATCTGCAGTTCCATAAACCAAAGTTGTAAAAGGGGCATATTGTGCAAGCTCTGTTTATTTTAAAACTCCATGCCTTTGAACACTTAACCCTAGGTTGCACCTTTGGGATCCAACGATGAAAAAAGCTGGAAATATTTTTTATTTTGAAACAAGGAAAAAAAAATCCTGCATCTTGTTATCACCATGTATCTTCTTTTTACCATTACAGTTAAATGCACTACACTTATCTTTTGCATTATTGGATCAGGAGTTCTTTTCAGTATTGGGCTGTAAATATAGAGAAAAGTTTTTGTAAACTTTTGTACAAAAATGTAATATTTTGGTAGGAATACTAAAATTATAATCTTTGGGTTATATTTATACACATGTGGAATAAAAATGTACTGCAAAGGAGGAAAAAAATCCTTTCGTATTTGAATAGACAATGTATGCGGCAAAAGAAATTGTATGATATGATTTTTTCCATCCTGAGATTTAAGCAGCAACTTATATAAGAGGAGACAGGAAGAGAATTTTGAATAAAATAACTGAGGACTCTAAACTGATGGCTTCGTCCTAAAATCTCAAACCTGATTTCATATTAGTTACGCCATGTTAGCTAAGGATATTGGCTACTGAATTCCATCTCCAGGTTGAAAACAGCTTTTTAGAAGAAACATCAGTTCTCTTAAATCTAAGAAACTCGTCATTCCAAATGTGTTGCGCACCTTACTTTACATACTGAGCCCAGTTTGGGGAATAGATTTTAAGAAGGATGGGTACAATTTGTATTTAGGAAAGGGGAACAAGCACGAGAGATCAAGAAACTAAATTCTATGAAAACAAATTGCAAGAACTAGGAACGTTGTAGAAGGCGGGGAAGGGCTACAATAAAACATGTAATGTTAGACACAAAGAATCAGGACCGTACATTAAGTTGCAGTTAAGATTTATTGCTCAAGCCTACATAGAAGAATTTAGTCAACTAATGTTCAAAGTAAATTGGTGCTAGAGAAGTCAATGGAATTCAAGAAGGAGCATAGAATTTATAGGAACATAAAATCATAGGGTTGGAAGAGACTTCAAAGGTCTTCTAGTCCAACTCCGTTCTCAGTGCAGGAGATCTTGTACCATCCCGTCAAATGGCTGTTCTCTCAGTCAGATCAAAGAGTTTTATAATGGATTACTTTATGCTGCTTTCTCAGTCCAAGCACTTTTAGCTCTATTAATCACAGGGCTACTCACTAGTTTGTCCCAATTTTTTCCCATCACAGTTGACTATAAAACATCAAAACCCAACTGGCTGACCTTCGGCCAATCATTCCCTTTCAGTCCAACCTACTTCATAGGATTATTGTTGTGAGGAAAATAGGAGAAAACAGCCAATTATTCACCATTACAGATGATGATGATGATGACTATCGTGACGTGGTGGTGGTGGTGGTGGTCTATATTACTATATTTTACTGCTAGGAATCAGAAAAGATAGGTGTTCAGGAGGATTTGTATTATAGTACTCAAACTTTACTCTACATAGCAGGGATAACACTTATATAGGCTTGGTAGCTAAAGTTGGATTTGGTTAGCACTTTGATAGAAAACTGCTAAGTAACCAGAGGACTGTAAATTAAGAAATTGAAAAATTATCCCAGAAAAAAGCAAGGGGAAATCATTTCTATATTTTTGCCAAGAAGACCACATGGATATCTTCACGAAGGAGTTAGCTGAGCTTGACTAAAAGGAAATATTACTTTATTTAGAATAATTTGTCTCACACTGGATATCCTGATTTTGACAGGGTTGATTTTCTACCCCTGGCAGCGAAATGTCTTAAAACCATACAGGAAGAAACCTGGAGTTCACAATTCTTGTTGAGATGGACAACTAGTCTAACATCCAAGAAAGCTTCCTATTTAGTACTCTGGCCAATAAAGAGAAGATTAATGATTTGATTTATAATTGATACAGATCAACCCTTTTGTTGCATTCTAAAAAAATTAGAACATGCATGTATTCTAATTTCCATGCATGGATACATTTTTCCCCTCTGTGCAATTGTGTCTAATTCTCGGAGACTGCCTGGACAAATCCCTGTATTTTTCTTAGCCATATTTTTTGATGTGGTTTGCCATTGCCTCTTTCCTAGGGTTCGGAGAGCATGACTGGCCCAAGGTCACCCAGCTGGTTTTGTACCTAAGACCAGACTAAAACTCATAAGTCTCCCAGTTTCTAGCTTAATGCCTTAACCATTACACTAGCACTGTATAAATTATTGCTTCGGTATACTCTCTTTGACTTCAATGTGAATTAAGGTCCACGATTCTGACATGAAAGATTTGTTTCCACAAAAATATTTGGAAAAGAAGAGGAGAAATGGAAGGAACCGGAAAAGAGAAACAGGTGAGAATGAAAGGTCAGGGCACCTCAATTCTGACCCTTCATCAAAATATTCCATAAAATATTTCTGATGAAGAAAGATGAGCAGCTACAGGAGAAAATGGATATTGTGCTGTCTGTGAATATATAGCAGCAAGGTTTGTATTATATCTCTGTGTTTGGTTTCTCCCTATTGATTCCAGAGACAGTGAAATAATATATGTTGGCTCCAGAAATAACATTGTTTGCCCCTAATTGTAGGCTGTGAAGGAGGCCTAGATTCCATAATTTCTTCCAGTATGCCCTGTCTTCCTTTTATGTTCTCCAATTTCAGATATTATCCCAGAGCAAGAGAGCAAAGCAGAAAAGGGTGGGAAGTAACAGAATAACCGAAGAAAAGAGTTAGAAGGGACCTTGGAGATCTTCTAGTCCAATCCCCTGCTCAGGCAGGAGACCCTACACCAGGGGTCTTCAAACTTGGCCCTTTTGTGACTTGTGGACTTCAACTCCCAGCGTGCCTGGCTGACAAATTCTGGGAGTTGAAGTCCACAAGTCATAAAAGGGCCAAGTTTGAAGACCCCTGCCCTACACCATTTCAGACAAATGGTTGTCCAATCTCTTCTTTAAAACCTCCAGTGTTGGAACTTTCACA